GATCTCAACAAGGGTTTAGGCAAAGCCGATCCTGCTCCACCAACCGACTTCTTGTTCGAGATGAATGGACCAGAACAGTCGACGAAGGGGATGCGGTGGATGTGATTTACTTCGACTTCTCAAAAGCATTTGGTCGAGTGAATCACCAAATTTTTTACAGAAACTCTACAATTACGGCGTTCGAGATTTCGTGTTTGCTTCGATTAGAGCATTCTTCAAACAACGGACCACATCAGTTCGTGTTTCTGATTCCACATCCGGATCTATCAAAGCCACCCACGGTGTTCCACAAAGGTCCGTACTCAGTCTCCGTATGTTCCTCGCATTCATAAATGATCTACCGAAAGTGTTAGGCCCAAAAACAATACTGTTTGCAGACGACCCCAAAATCTGGAACACAGTTACAGAACCCGAGGACTCTCTAACACTTCAGGAATCACTCAACGCATCATATCAATGGTTTAAGGAGAACGACATTGAATTTAATAATTCTAAATGCAAATTCCTATCTCTACGCCACAAGAGAAAATTCTCCTATTTCCTCGCGGATCAGCAGCTACCACACACTTCAAGTGAAAAGAACTTAAAAGGTATCGTTCAAGAGGAGTTTAGCTGCTCCATCAATTGCGCTAAGGCTTCGTCGGCTGCTGTGAAGAATGTCGACCTACTTCGGCGAGTCTTTGGCCAGTTTGAATCATCACTATTCCCACGTTTACAATAAGTGTACATTCTACCCTACACAGAGTACGCCATCCAAGCTTTGAGTCCATGGTTTCATTGCAATCGCATGATGCTTGAACGTCCACAAAGAATGACCACCACGATGGTCAAAGGGTTACATTACCTGACATATGAGGGGAGATTACGATCATTGGGACTATATTCTGCTCAGTACCGCCGAACTCGAAGAGACTTGATTTTGACTTATCAAATATTGCGGAACCGAAACCATCCGTGTCGATCGCTGCTCATGTTATTTAAAAATGTACACCTAAGGGGACACTGCTTCAAACTACTGATTCCCAAGTGTCGACTGGATTGTCGGCGCCAGTCTTTTGCAGTCAGAATGTGCAAATCTTGGAACGCCCTTCCNCAAACTACTGATTCCCAAGTGTCGACTGGATTGTCGGCGCCAGTCTTTTGCAGTCAGAGTATGCAGTTCTTGGAACGCCCTCCCATTTCACGATGTTTGTGCACCCAATATTGAATCTTTCAAGCAGCGACTTGATGAAACCTTGGCACACCTCACATTCGTACACCACTAAGAGCAAACACAAATTCACTGAAGCCTACATTCTCCATTATCTCCCAATCGGAACTATATGTGACTCCTTTTTCGACGTGTAACGATTCATCTGTGTAAATTCCCTATGGTAACAAGAGAAGCATGAGCTTGTAAGTTATTCCCACAGTAAAACTTTGACTTTGATTTTGAGTACCAAATTATAGGATGCTTTCTGAATGAGTTAGATCTCATAGGTAAGAATGAGCATTGTTACTCAAACAATTTTGTTTTCACGAACATTTCCATCGCATGTAAATGCATGAACTTGTGGGGAACTAACGATCTACCAAGGAGTGGAACCCACACCCAAGACCATCAAGAGTGCCTGGTGCACCTGAGCAATCGAATGCACTAATTCAAGCTTGCTACTCTAAAAGAGGCAATGTGTTATTCAGAATACTGCTCACAGCAAAGTTCAGATTAGATCTCATCACATGTAAAATTCATCTCCCATAAGCTTTCGCTCGTCTTGAGCTCCGTTGGGACAGTGTTTAAAGAAGTCTGGCCTTCCTTTTGTACACTGCGTCTCAGAAAACTTTCCAAACAGCAAACCCATCAAGTGAATCAAATGTCACTTCAATATTAGAGAACTAATTGTTTGCCGGTCTTCGGTGAGTACAGCGTGGAGCAAGTCGAACTCAGTCCGCTGTGATTATCACTGACAGCGTGCGAGGTTTCCAATAGTATGGGCTAGTACCAGTTCTCCGTCTGTACGAAGTTTATATTTTGAAAACTGCTGGTACAGTTTCTCCTTCATCAATCCAACGTCGGTGTAAACTTCTCTTCACAAAACAATTGACCTTGTATTTTCGCCGGATGATTTTGATGGTTGTTTTTTCACTTTCCGTCTCGCTGAAGGAGTAGTGTGTAAGAAATAAAAAGCCGCAAGCGCTACCAAGCTGAGGATAGAGAATTCGAGTAGACGACGGTTTCGAAGGAATCGATTAAATGGGCGGGTGCTACAGTTTGTGACACGCGGTTATATTGCCTAATGAGAAAAATATAACCTATTTCCCTGACCAGGATCACCACGACCTTATGCCAGGTCACAGTTTGGCAGCATCTGGTCCTCGTTAATCAACTAGCTACTTTGACAAACACTGCGCAACGGGGAAGCCTGTTAGATGACGCGCTTAAAGCATGACCCAACTATGGTAATCTTTAAATAGGAAACACCTGATCCGGTAGACGACCCTGGTCGCCGAATACCAACGCCTTACCAGAACACCGCTCGCCTGGTTGTATCTTCATGCTTATGAAATGCGGTGTTTGAACACAGATAGTCTGATTTTCTTTATCTCTCTATCCCTATAGAGCTTTCTTCAGCTACAGAAAAGTTGTGATGACATAAATAGTCATAAATATAGAAAGAAGATGAACGCAGCGAGATGTTAGCATTTCGTTTAATCCTCTCAATCGCTTACTTGCTGACCGAAATGGAAAGATCACTTTTTGATGTTTATTTAGCTCATCAATACAGAAGGAAGACAAATGGCGCAAGATGTTAACATTTCATTTAATCTTCTCAGTCGCTGACTGAAAACAAGCAAGCATATATATAGCACATGGGGTTGTTCACTTATGGTGAATGAACCTGTACAAGCACACAAAGATCACTAAATATAGAAGTAGACGTTCAACTCCACGATAAATAGATTGATTGTATTAACACCTTTTGTGCGCATAAGGATAGGTGATGTAATCGAATAAGCAGCGCTTCACTAATTGCCAAGATCTTAGCATTGCGATTACGTAAAAGTGGTATGAAAGACAAATTGGGGTCAAAAGTGTGACTTGTTGTCATGAAATGTTTTGCAACAGATGACCCTGTATGTCTTGTAATCACTTGACCATCAGTTATGTGTTACGTCATTCATTTCATCAACCACTTTGGAATATGTTCGGCTATCCGTTGCGACAGCTGACGATTTGTTCTGTCTATCTTTGCGTCATCGCAACTGCAGGTGAATTGCTATACAGTGTGTGAGACAGAACCGGTTTGCCAGCTATGTTTACGCTTGTCCAGATCAATTCCACGAGTGGGAGCAATGAGTCTGATTTGAGCAACTAGGACTGTACCTGTAACTTCAAGTGAATCCGCTAAAACTTCAGATGAATCCACCGTAACTTCAAGTGAATCCAACCAATCGCACTCCATTAGATACCCCGACAA